CTCGTCCAAGCAGTCACTGCAGAGTCGGTAACGACTGAGCGCAGATTAAGAAAAAAAAAAAAGGACCTATTTCATGTTTGTTTTCTACTGTTTTCCAATCCCTGTTATAACTGCCATTAGTTCCAGAGGGAATGGGCAAAAGATACTGCAATCCTTATACAGTATGTTTAAAACAACATAAAATACCTCATCATAGGAAATCCAGTCCCTTAAAAATTGGCATCTCCCTGAACTGCTGAACCAGAAGCAAGAAAGGTGTATAGAAAAGGATGCTCTGCTCACAGTCACTCATGCCCTGGTCATCTCCCAGATGGACTGTTGTAATGCGCTCTACATGGGGATGTCCTTGAAGAGTATCTGGAAGCTTCAGCTAGTGCAGAATGCAGCAGCGCAGGGAGTTATGCGTGCCTCTAGAATGGCACGTTACACCTCTGCTCCATGAGCTTGGTTGCCAGTCTTCTTCTGGGTCCAATTCAAGATGCTGTTTTTTACCTTTAAAGCCCTTCACGGCATGGGGCCGGTTACTTGAGGGACCACCTCTTCCCAATTATATCTGCCCATCCCATCAGGTCTGGCAGAAGAGGTATGTTGCAGGTCCCATCTGCTAAAGAGCTACATCTGGTGGGGCCCCAGAGAGGGGCTTTTTTTTGCCATGGTGCCCTCCTTATGGAACATCATCCCCCCAGAGGTCAGGCCGGCTCCATCCCTGTTAACTTTGCACAAGTTCCTCAAGACTTGGCTATGTCATCAGGCTTGGGGGCCCCAAGGGAATGGTGCATTGCTGAGTCTTGAGGAACTTGTGAAAAGTTTTGTTAATATCTGTCACTCTCTCCTTGCCTTTTTTTAATTGTAATATTAATTTTTAAATTAATTTTTTATATTATTTTTTAAATGTTTTTATTGTGTGCTGCCCAGAGTCACATTTTATGAGATGGGTAGCTATATAAATATGATGGATGGATGGATGGATGGATGGATGGATGGATGGATGGATGGATGGATGGATAAGAGAGAGAGAGAACAGGCAGAAGTTGCAGTGACATACTCTGGAGGAAAGGGAGAAGGAGGGATGGTCCTCCACTCAACATACCTTCTTAAAAAATAACTCATACAAATAGCTGAACAGGTTTATAAATTAATACCAGGAGAATCTACATGCCTTTAAACCAAAGCACTCCATGGAACCCTAGGGTTCCGCAAGAACTTATGGAGTTTAATGAGAGTTCACTACTTTGTTACCTCTTGATCAGAAGTTCCTGGAATCATCATCATCATCATCATCATCTGAAAAGTTTGATACCTTGCTCTAGACAGACTATATTTAATAGGCTTAGTTATCTTCTTTTAGTTACTAAGATAACTATTTGGGGCATGCAGTAAAATTACATTTTTGTCAGATTATGGGCTTTCAGGTTTCATTCAGGACAACAGTTTCATATATTGAGCAGTGCAGTATGACGTGCAGCAATTATCCTATTAAAAATCAACAACATCCCATTTGCTCTTTTCAGTGCCACTTGAAGAGATGCACGTATTTTGGAAACCAACTCAAACCAAGTGACCAAGCTTTGTTCTATGTTCTCCAGTTCTTCAGTGGAGATACCAGTTTCTCATTTCCTGTGATGTCAATTATTAACTATTATATTAAACCCCATTTCCTTAGCTGATACCCTGCTTGCTTGAGCAATTCCACTAATAAAGAAGGGGCTTTGCCTGAAAATACTTCTTGTGGATTTATAATTAATTAAATTTAAACAATTACTGCTAAGCATCAACATTGTTATGCTACTACTTTTTATTTCCATGTGTTCAGAAGGACTATGCATATGCATGAATCACCTATACTACATACAAACTTGCATACAACCAAAGGCAGCACATTTTTGTAAAAAGACTAAATAATTATTAACTAGTAGAGTTGCACACATTAATATTTTAGGAGAAATCCAAACATCTGCCTACCTTAGTTAACTATGATACCTACTCAAATTTATAGATACTATTAAATCAAATGCTATAAACTAACAGAACTGATTAGGGAAAAGTTAGCATTCCGATTATAAGCAAATACTGTACATTTTGGCATGATATGTGTGTTAAGTATCAAGCCAAATGGTGATGTCAGAAGCTTATGTCTGAGAGAAGACCCTGTTTCACCATTAATATTTCTTAGCTACTCTGGGAGTCTGGGTAAAAAGGAAGGTAAACATTCTTACAAAAAGAGATAGAGATACACCACGGACTGTTTTGTAACACTAAGGTCCTATTCAGATGTAATGAGAAATAAACTGTTTCCAACTATGTGACTCTGGTACAGCAAATCCTTGAGAGTGCTGATCCCCAAATCTTTAGAAGCATGAGTTGGACTGTGCCTTCAAACTTTGTCTCACTCTTCATGTATGAAGTGCCTTTCTTCATGCAAAAGATGGGGAATTACTATTTCCTGCATTCTCCCATACAGAGAAGCACATTTCTTCCTCCTTGCAGGGCAAAAACAAAATTCTTCCTTCCTTTGTGGAAAATACTACAGTCTGGGGACAGAACTGTACAGAGCGAGCTTTTCCTCTTTAATGACTGACCCATTTTTGTAATTTTGCCTCCTGAAAGAGGGTTAGGGACAAACTGGCTGTGGTATAATGTAACACAAGACAAGCACTGCAAGTTTTGTTGTTGCTCTCCTTCAACCAGAAACATACAAATCAACCAATTCAAACATTAGACAATTTGTACAGATGGTAGGTTATATAACAGGTGGTACAACTAGCTGACCTTAAAAAAATTAAACAGGTTGGATCAGTTTAGTTCTTGGATGGGAGACCACCAGGATGTATACTACAATGGGAAGTTGAAAAAGGAAATAGAAGGAAATAATGGCAAACCGCTTATGTATTTATTCATGCGATTTATCCAGTGCCTCAGGTCAGACAGACTCTAGATGGTATTGTTGCTGGGAAAACAACATGTAAATTTCTGTGTAATTATCAGGAGTCAACATCAGCTTAAAGGGATATTTTAAAAACAGATTATAAAGTAGGAAAATTATAACTGGGACTGAATCTAATAAATGTTAGTTTATTAAACTATCCATGACATTTGCACAATTCTGTATGTGAATAGAAACAACAATTCAGTAGCATTTTTAGCTTTCAGGGTATGTACACATAAATCTTAACAAACATTATCTTAAAAAATATAATCCTGGACCAAACTACCCAACTTTCAGGGAAGAGAAAAATAGTAATAATGAGAAACTTCAACTAACTAGACATCTGTAGAAAAACTAACCTGGCAAGGTTCCTCAGTGATTCTGCTGACACTTTCATCTTTCAGAAGAATAAAGGTATTGGCTCTCTCAGAGCTGATCCTAACCAATCGGGAAGCATGGGTTGACGAGATGAAAGCAGTCACAGCTTTAGGAGGAAGTGACTATGTCATCTTGGAGTTCAAAGAACTACAAAAAGAAAAAATTGAGCACATGCATGCATGCACACTAGATTTCAGGAGAGCCAATTTCAACAGTCTTAGAGAAGCACTAATCAAGATCCCATGGACAGAAATCTAAAGCCAAAGAGAATGCAGGAGAATTGGGAACTTCTCAAAAATAAGATACTGAAGTACAGTCACACACCATTCCTGTTGGGGATGAAGATGGGGACAGCCTGTAAAAGTGCCTTCTGAAAAAGCAGAAATGTAAGGGTCATGCATTGGGGCAGGGGGAGCACATTCCTCAGTGCAGAAGTGACTAACAGAATGTCTAGTCCCCAGCCCTTTAACTTCTCTCCCTAGAAGGCTATGGAGTCCTTTATGTGATCTTTGTGAATTCATAGAGGACAGGTAAAGTGCCAGAGCATTAGAGAAGGGCAAATGTTGAGCAAGGTAACTGTAGCCTAGTCAGCTCAATGTCAGTAACAGACTATTCTGGAACAAATTATTAGCAGTAGAGTTGAGTTTATTTAGAAAAGGATTAATTGTCTGTTGGGACCCAGCATGGGTTTATCACAAATATATCATGCCAAACCAACCAATCAAGAGATACTTTTTAGTTGATGACCCACATCAGTTCTTATATGGGTGTAGATTTTTTGTAAGCATTTCCAGAGAGGAAGCTTTGTGAAGTCTGCTGCAGCAAAGCCACCACCGCAACTCTTACAAAGAATTTTGTTGCAGCTTTAAAACCATAACATTTATTTTGGCAGCAGCTTCCTGGGCAGTTTTTTGTTTTGTTTTCTTTCCTCTGAATAAGGCTTTAATGTCTGAAGTCATCTCCAACCACACACACAAACCCCAAACATCAGTTTCCAAGCTGTTTCAAGCTGTTAACAATGAAACGAGACACTCGGCCCTCAGCATTCGAAGAATTTGGGTGAAAATTCTCCCGGTTTTGACGGCACCTTTGATGACTCCGCCTTGCTTTCAGCCTGATAAAGTTTGAAAAAGCACTGGTTGTTCCCCACCCCCGAGGCTTTTGCCCAAAGGGGAGGGAGTTCAAACGGAGCCAGAAAAGATGCCTGAAAAGGAGCATTGTGCGCGGCGAAGGCCAGAAGGAGCGCGGGCGCCCTCGCTAGGCCGCACGGAACAAGCACCGCGCGGGCTACCGCTGCGCGAAGCTGGGATCGGCGAGGCGCTCCCTCCCGTCTAGCTGATGCCGCCAGTGCCTTCCGTTTCCATAATCATGGCTTCTGACTCCGCGGATAAGCCTGCTGTGTAAACTTTCCCGACTGGGTTCGGGCAAAGGGACGCCTGGTGACAGAGCGACCAGGTACCGCTTTCTACTGCGGGGGGCGTTGCGCGACTGGGGGAGGGAGGGGAGATGCTAGGATCGGCGCCGCAGCAGAGTTTATGAAACTGCAGGATGGCTGGCGCGCAACGCGGCTTGCCTCAAGCGATTTCCTCAAGCACTCTCTTCCCTCCGCCCCCCCACCCCACTTTGCAAACGGTCGAAAATTGACGGCGCCCCTGGCTAGATGGCATCGAAGCCCAAGCGAGGGGAGAATTCACACTGGCCGCGCTTGTTTACGCCTACCCCGATTACCTTGGGAGCGAGTAACCGCAAAAGACAAGCTCGGACGAGTTCTCCCCCGGGGTGTGGGGGGGAGGAATTTCCCATGCCACGGAAAGGGAAGGGTTGAGACGACACACCAATTAAAAAATAAATTAATTAAAAAAACTTTTCCTCTTCTCGAAGGAACATCCACCCTTTCTAAATGGATGTACTTCTGGAAGAGTTTCTGTGACTCCTTTTGGGAAACGGCTGTTTGCAAGGTAGGGCGGGAATGAGGGTTGCGTTTCGCCGTCACTTCCACTGCTCCGCTGCAGCAGCTTTTTTGCCAGTGTGCTCGCGCGTGCATTTATCTCCCCTCCATCCAACAGGGAGAATGAATTTGGGCTTCTTGTAAATTTCCCGAATGGAGGAGGGGATTGGATTGATGGGAGAGGAAAGCGCGGGGGGAGGGCGTGTGGGCGGTTCGAGCGAGCGAGCGAAGAATGACATATTGTCTAGCGAGGGAGGCCGGCCTCCCCTCAGTGCCCTTTCGCCATTGGAGCAGGCGCCGATGACGCGCAGTGCTGCTGCTGACTATTTGAGGCAGCAGCAACATAAGGAAGAGGTGGTGGTGGTAACAGCAGCGGGGAGACGGCAAGAAAGCACGTACGCGCGAGAAGCGCACACGCGGACGGCCACGGGCGCCCGGTCCCGCAAAGCCGCGGCTCCTGCTGACTTTGGAAATAGGACGCGACAGGAAGGAGACGCAGCCTCGCCAGGAGGCGAGCAAAAGCAGCATCTCCAGCCCGGCGCCCGGGGGCAACAAGACCCCGCCTCCCCGCGCCCAAGGCCGCCCCCCCCCCCCCCGCCTGGGCGCTGCGG